TCCAGGTACTGGCCAGGAGCACACCTGCTGAGTTTCAGTGGGCTGCCAGCTGTGAGTGGCAGGGTGAGATACTCAACCAAACTCGATGAAGATGAACATTTTGCTGTGGCGACTCACTGACAGCTATAGTTCAGCAGTGCGTTCGTGCGGTTTGGAGAGGCTGGGGAGTTGTGTGTCTGGCGTGGATCCCTGCTGCACAAACACTCTTCGGGGTCGGTAAGCAGCAGGTAAACACGCCGGTCTGTAGCCAGGAGTGGAAATGCTAATGCAGCATTTGTTCAGCTGTGTGTTCAGAGAGCTAGATCTGCGTACTGATCGGGCTCAGGGATTCTCGATTCACAGCCAAGCCAGAGACTTGTGTCTCTTTCTTTATCTGCTCTGGGCAGGTGTGAAGGCAGCCTGGGGGTATTTCTGTGTGCAGCTCTCAGAAACTGTAAACTTACAAACAAACTTTCACATGAGTTCACCAGTGTGTAGTTTCTTTTCCTTGTGCCTCAAACTGTACAACATAAAATACAGGTGCTTGTTTTTGCCACTATGGGCAAAAGGCTTATCTAATTAACTAAGTCTGTGTGCGTGTTTTGCCAAAAAATGAGGAATTTAGCACTCTACAACTGGTTGCATTGTTCTTGAAAATGTGTGATGTTCGTGTCCGAGACGTTCATTTGTGATCTTCTGTACATTCACCACACTGGGAAATGAGAAAGCTAGAGAGCTCCCCCTGCTGGTGTCTTTTAGCATAGCTCTTCAACATCATGGCAATGTAAACTGATGCACCTTGTTCAGTGGTCTTCTGTCTTCACCAGATCTCCTGTATATTGGGGCTGTTGGGGCTCAGTGATAGCCAGAAGTCATGCTGGGGGGGGGGGCTGCACTTCAGTGGTAATTGAAATATGTCCCCTGCTATATAGGAAGTGCTTTAGGATATTTTGGGGTTAAAGATGCAGTAGAACTGCAAACAGCTGTTATTAATATTCTTATTCACTACCTTGTCAATACGTGTTCACAGTGATGTCCTCATAAACTGGTGACCGTTTAGAGGTTTTATTTTACTTGATGGTTTTCGCTATGTCAAATCCCTGTGGTCTTCTTTAGAAACGTGTGGATACATTTAGTGCAGCACGAGCATTATAGTATACGTGTATATATAATATACATACAGTATATTCAAATGATATAAAAACATTAAAAAATATTCAGTCTATGAATAGAAATCACCATTGTTCTTAAATTAAGATACTGTATTTTACAAGGATCTTGTCTCTTCTTGTGTATAAAAAATTACGTTTCTATGAGCTAGTAATTTAAAAAACTTTTAGGGTTTCTTTAAAGAAAAACTAACTAATAAGTTGTCTCTGTCTGAGTTACATAAACCACCACCTGTACTTCAGTCTCCTGACCAATTGCTTCTGCCCTGGGATTGCTTAGGGTGACATCTATTAAAAATATATGATTAAAATATTATATACAGTATATTGTATATGCTTTTATATTGTATATAAAAATGTGTGATTCAAAGTCTCATTCTGACACACTGGAACATCTCTGACCATTCTATGTTACTCGCACTTGATAAAGGACTTTGTTTGTTGTTTATTTTTAAAAATAAAGAAATGCAATTTCCACTCAGCAGTCACTCATCAGCACATCGGCACTAATTAAAAAACATCGCTTTTCCAGTACTGGCAGAGCAAATACACAAGCAGGAGATGCTTGCAAACAAACACAAAAGAGCACTTCTCTCCCTTCATTTGAGCAGCGAGGGCTGTGTTGTTTGATTAATTCATTTACTTTGCTTCCTGAGCTTGCTTGTATCGGGGCTTGCGAAGTGCAGGGTCTCTTGGAGGACAAAGCAGATTCAGAGCGTGTGATGTCAGCACTCCTCTCTAGCATCAAAGCAGGCTCTTGAGCCTGGAGTGCCCTGCGTGAACGAGGGGTCCTCTTTGTAGCGGTGGGGGCTAGAGGCTTATTGATGGACTGGTCTGTGCAAAACCAGCACAATGCAGCCCTGAGTGCATGGCCTCTATTCACGGGCACTGACATGCTTCTCAACAGCACTAAGACGGCCTGAACAGAGCCTAATTGCATGTTTTGTGTTTTATGAATACTGCGTCCACATGCACAGATCAATACATTCCATCACCCTTCCTTTTTGTAGCCATCGGCATCAATGAGAGCTGGAAGAATTTGAACACGACAGAAAGGTGAATGGAATACAGTGCCTGTACCAATAATAATACACACCGAGTGAGCTTCTCAAATAATAATACTACTAATAATAATAAAACCCTTTTGTTGAGACGTATACTGCAGATTCACATTTTTTTTTTCATTTTCTTCAACTCATATTTATACTCGTGAAAAGACTGGGTCTAAGGAGGATGATTAAAAGCCCCCGGTTCTCAGATAGTTTCTGAGACCATGTTATCGTCGTTCAAACAGACAGAGCGACCTAAGGACCTGTCAGGACATGATAAGCCATGGCTGGGCAGCGTGGGCCTGTGGCCCAGCTCTCAGGGTCACTGTGGGGACAGAGCCAGTTTCTGAAATCACTCTTTTCCAGCCTCATTCCTTCCTGTTCTTTGCTCTCAGCCATCAATGTTTGTCGTGCAAAATTCGAACAGCACTTCTCCACTTCTTCTGTGTTTCCCTCCCTTAAATCCTTTGCTCCCTGTGCAATCAGTATATAACCCGGCAGCTAAGCGACTGTTGCCTGTCTGGAGCTATCAGATTATGTGTAATATGAGCAGATGTGTGCATATGTTTTGTTGCATGTCTAGGACTATTGTTTGTTTTTCATTTATATTGATTTTTATAAGCTGGAGAAGGCTCCACAACCGAAACGTTGTGTTTCCTTTCTTCTCTTTTCAGCATGGAATAAACCTGTTACTTGTTCCTTTGCAGCCTACGCATGCTGACGCAGCTCCCCACCTGAACTATTTATTTTTGTGTTGAGCATTATTTGTACGCTGTTGCCAAAGACAATTTTCCTTTTTTAATTAGCAATAGTACCAGATTAACAATACTTTATATACATTTACTCTGCTTTCCCAGTTTCCCTGCTTACGCCTCTCTGTTTACCCTGCTTTACTCCTCTCTGCCACTCTTGTACCGGGGTAAAGGTTGTAGTAAGCTTCTCCTCTCCCCTCTGCTCCCTGCGCTCTGTCCAGTGGTTAGGGTTTTTCTTATCGCAGTGCACAGGCCTCCTGTCATCTTTCTTTTGGATTTGTGGGGCTTTTCCCGAGAGCACAAATTAAAACTCTTCTCAGATCTCTCCTGCTCTGTTCCCTCTCTCTCCAGCTCATTCGCATGCACGCGCTGCTCTATTGACAGAATCGGCCTGGTTCCCCAAAGCAATTAAACAATGCAAATCTCATGAATACAGAAAGGACTGATCATTGCCTAATGATTGCAGTGTTAACTCACTGTCCTTCTGCCTTTAGTCTCTCCTAATGTCTTTCTCCTTTTCGCTTTCCCTCTCCCCATCATTTCTGTCTTTCTCTCCCCCTTTATCCTTCATTCCCCTAATCCCTGTCTCTCTCTAGCATAGAATAATAATGGATGTGCTTCCATTATTACAGGTTTCTTAGCAGGCTCATTGGAGTTGTTTGAAATATGCAACAGGCTAGGTTGCTCTGTGATCCTCTCTCTCTAATGTCTCTTCCCTCCACCCTCCTCCTTCCACCCCCCTTTGCCCTCGCAGGTGGAGAAGGGGATGCAGGAGTCTCTCCGGCAGGTGCTGCAGCTCTCTCTCCGTGCTCATTCCCAGAGCCCGAGGGAAAAGTGGCTCCTGCAGTGGCCCGGACAGGTGGTTCTGACAGCCAGAATGATCTTCTGGACCGCTGAGGTGTCCCAGGTCTGTGTGTGTTCCTTCTGTCAGTGCGTGTGCCCCACAGGCACGCAGGTTAGAATATCTCTTGGTCTCCGATGCTGCAGAATTTACGGAAGATGAGTATAAGACAGAAGAAAAATGTAATCTAAGATCACAGGCGAGCACACACCTCATCCCCCCGGGGTCCCTATAGATCAGTGGTCCTCAATCGTGGTCCTGTTAACCCACCACACCCACTGGTTTTCATTCCATCCCAGATAATGGAAGCCTTACTTCATCGAAGAAGTTGCTTCAATTGAATATTTGCGTTTTGTTTCTAGTCGCAAGTGTGGGCTTTTATTTCACTTACAAAATACAACGATTTAAGCTCCAACATGTTGAAGAGCTGGGAACAACCAGTTCAAATGAAGCTCACTGTTATTATTAATTCAATGAAGGGTTTGATTGTGTAACTGAGGGCTCAGCTGGAACAAAACCCAACTGGCGTGTGGCTTTACATGGGGAGTACTCTGGAAGACAGGGAGTCCACTGTTGTCCAGAAATTCTTAATGAATGAAATTCTCCAGAGCTCCAGCCCACAGCCTCTGGTACCTGCCTGGTAGGTTAGAAAATGTTTTTATTCGCCTTCCAAGACAGGCTTATTCAAGCCCACTGTATGCTGGGAAGGCTGCTCGGAGCCTGTGTTGTCATTACATTGTGAGACATTGTCTGTGAGACCGCGCTGGGAAGTGGGCTGTGACAGGCTGGTTCCTCCTCGGATACCCCTCTGCTGAAAACCCGCGTGCGTACCGTACAGTATGTGTGCAAGCTCAAGGTCTGCTGTTCCTGCCCTGCTCCAGGTGCTTTCCCAGAGAGGAAGCCTGCAGGGCTGTCTGGACAGGAGCAGTGCACAGCTAGAGGAAATGGTGGGGCTGATCAGAGGGCCGCGCAGCGAGCTGGACAGGATCACGCTGAGCGCGCTCATCACGGTGGAAGTGCACGGTAAGAACCCCTTGTTTTAGGGGGTTTCATTTGGAGCCTCCAGTTGCTATTTTCTTCTATTTTGTTCCCTGTCCATTTGATATGTCCAGTAATAGCTCAGCTCCCCACTCTGAGTACTGTGCATGCTTTCTCATTCATGCCTGTAGTCTAGTCATTTGCACTGTGGTGCTTTCAGGAGAGTTAGCACCCTCTAGGAGAGAGAGGAATCTCCCGCTGACAAAGTTACCTGCCATGAGGCAAATCTCAGGGGTGGCTTCTGTGCAGAGATCTGAGGGTGCCGTGACAGTCACAGTGTAATGATATAGCCCAGGGTCAGGATCCTGACATGGGGATTACAGGGATGAAATTGATCATATTAATTGATTTCTCCCCTCAGGTGTCCCAGAATGGGAATGTTTAACAATGTTAATATGTTGCTACAGGAAAGAACAATGAAAAAGAGGACTTAGCTGAGGGCCTCCTAAGTGACTTGAGTGGTAAAGACGTTCACCCAAGCATAGTTTGAAGCCCATGATCATGGGTTCGAGCCTGGGTCTTGTTGACTGTAAATGGGATCCAACAAGTGCAATCAACTAAATGCTGCCAAGACTAGGGTTAGGACTAGGGATTAGTGGGCAGGACTCTCCCTGCGATACAGTGACCCCTGCAGTGTCCTGGGTGCTTGCAGGCGAGCGGTGCTGTCAGTGGGACACGCTTTCCTCTGGTTGGCATAGTTTAGGTACTGATGGATTATAATAATGTTATAATGTTTATTTATTAGCCCTATACAATTTCTTGCATTAGGAATTTGTCTTTTCGCATACCCCATCTTTTTCTCCATGGAGACACAGACAGGGAGAGAAACTTGGGGTCAGAGTGCAGGGTCAGCCATTGTATGGTGCCCCTGGAGCAGTTAGGGTTAAGGGCCTTGCTCAGGGGCCCAACAGAGTAGGATTCCTCTGCCGGCCGCGGGATTTGAACCAGCAACCTTCCAGTCACAGGCGCAGATCCGTAGCCACAGAGCCACCGCTCCGCCCCAATTAAAAGGCAAATGTCTTTAAGGTTGCAGGTCAGAGGAGTATACTCCTTCACTTCCTCATTGTGCAGGGAGTCCAATCCTAAGGACAGTAGCTGCAAAGCCAAAGCATGAAAACACCCACCTGGCTATTGCATATCACGATGATATATCTAAGTAATTGGTAGTTCTGACTTTTTCTGAAAAAATACAAAGGAAATGACTGAATGTTGATTGAAAACTTAACTGATGGATTAATTTGTGGCATTTTACGTGAGTACCCTTGTCTTCTCTTCTCAGCTCGAGATGTGGTGGTGCAGCTCCATAACAAGGGGGTTTGCGATACCAGTGATTTCCAGTGGGTGGCGCAATTGCGGTATTACTGGGAAGGGGAGCAGGTGGTGGTGAGGATGATCACTGCAAGGGTTGACTATGGCTATGAGTACCTGGGCAACACAGGGCGCCTGGTAATCACCCCTCTGACTGACCGCTGCTACAGGTCAGTGTGCATTCCTATCACATAGTTACCTACTGTAACATACAGTAGTAATAGCACAGAGCCTCTTGGAATAGCTTCTAATTCTTATACAGTAACACACTGCAGCACTGTTGTTATTTTAGTAGCGTGTCAGGGCAATGGCCTTGTAATCATTTTAAAAAGCTTTAGAGGCCATCTCCTTTCTTTCTTGCCCCTTCTCTTTCTCTTTCTCTCTCTCTCTCAGGACGCTGCTGGGGGCTTTCCAGCTGAATCATGGTGGGGCACCGGAAGGCCCAGCCGGGACGGGAAAGACAGAGACCTGTAAGGACCTGGCGAAGGCTGTGGCCAAGCAGGTAGAGAGAGGCTCATGCAAGTCAGCACTGGCACGGCACTGAACTGGCTTAGACACGTGCTGTCAGTACATTTTAGACCCTCTTTAGAGGACACTGAAACCTCAAGAAATTCCTAGTGTTCCACCCCTGAACGAGTGTTCACTGTTCTTTAAAATTAAAAAGCATTGTTTGTTTGTTTGTTTGTTTGTTTTTTCCACTCCATAAGAGACAAGCACAGGAAAGGAACACAGCAATACAGAGTGCAGTGACTTAGCTTTTAGAGTACACTCAGCACTGTAGATGGCAAGAACAACAGTAGTGTAACTTCAGAACATATCCGACCCAGTTCACTAGAGGCTTGGCATTATCTCCTCACAAGGAGGCATCAAGGTCAAACGGCACAGGTTATAAAACCAGCCTCAGGCCTCTTGCCCTTGATTGGCCCTGAGGTCAGTCTCTTGCCCCACTCCTCTGGTACTTTACTGTTTTCATTATGGGTGCTGTTACCAAGCAGCACCCCATTCCAATAGGTATACCTGAAAGAACACAGTGCATAGTTATTGTTACAGAAGAGCTTTAGTGTGGAACACTGACACATTTAGTTAAGCTAAAAAGTGATGTAAAAGTAGGCTGTTGCTCTCAGTGACACAATTGAAAAAGGTTTCCTCCTCTAGAAGCTGTTTTTTCTTGTCTATGTCTTCCCAACGGTTATGACGAACTGTGCCTGTAGATTCTCACACAGATAGCACTCTGCTTGAACAGTGAGGATATCTTGTCAATGGTAACCAAGGTCCGCTGCTGCTCAGATCGCCTCTCTGTTCAAGCGCGGCGTGGATGTCTGTGCCGGCTCATGTTCAGCCCTCTGTGACGCAGCTAATGTGTCTTGTGTGCTCCTCAACAGTGTGTGGTGTTCAACTGCTCTGACGGGCTGGACTATCAGGCCATGGGGAAGTTCTTCAAGGGCCTGGCCCAGTCAGGGGTGTGGGCCTGTTTTGACGAGTTCAACCGCATTGAGCTGGAGGTACTTGAGTCTCCTGTCTTACCCCTGTCCGTGGCTCCTGTGGCAGAGACCCTCTGACTTGTCTGCAGTGCTTTATTTCCCATCACGCACTGTAGCCACAGTACCTAGGGCCTACGAAACTTGTAGGGCCTACGAAGGAGGGAAACACTAGTGATGAACGAAAAACAAGCTGAAACAACATGCCTGCGATCAACTCTAGGTGCTTCAAATCAATAATCATATGCTACTGTATCTAGCGGTTCTTCTAGAAACTAGAAGTAGCGAAGTGATGGTCTCTCGACTCGCTTCATCAATCACGTGGTTTAGCGTTAGAATAGTTTAAGGTGCATCATGTCAATCGACGTCATTCAGTTGGCGTTTACCCCTCTTTTTGCACATTTCGGAGTGAAAGTGCCGAGGGCCTACGACCACCAAAATCCGGGCCTGCTTGTCTGTTCCAACTGTTCCGATCTTGTTCCCCCTGGATATATTGTACAGTATAGCCTCTCTATGCCCTTCCTGGTGCCCTCTGTCCCCTTATTCAACTGATATTCCTCATTCCACACAGGAAGCCCTAAGTAGTTTCTTCTCCCATCTTTGATTAAATATGCGCCATCATGGTACGGGCCACAGCACACAGAATCTATCCCTGAAGTGTAGAGGGTGCACAGCAGGACTGAGAGAACACTACCACTTTCACCCTGGAGGCCAGTCCATCTCAGAGCCCTTAGGGTATCTAATCGGTTTAGCTCATATGTCTTTGGAGATGAGAAGGCACAGGAGCTCTCTGTTCATATGTGTCACACAAGTTCTGTCGATTGTCTGGCTAACTGAGCCGAGATAATTGCTTTTTTACAACGTAGTATGTGATGCTGAGCAGTGTATATGGAATATTCTCCTCCTAAAGAGTGATTGCAGCCTGCAGTCTCTCCCTTTCTGGCATGCTACTCTAAATGCATTTGCCTTCATCATCTCCAGAATGGGCAGGACTCCCAAGGAGAAGATTGTGATAGATGGCCAGTGCAGCAGGGGTCATTGGCCAGGCCCGGTAGTCATCTGCCCTGCAGGGGCAGGTGTAATGATGGAGTGTTTGCTGAACAGGCAGACTGAGTCAGGGATGGGGTTGTGGGTTGTGGGTTGTGGGCAGCAGGTGGGCAGTTTAAGCATGTCCGCAGTACACCTCTGGGTTTCACTGCTGTGACTACTAGACGTTTTTATGCTTCCTATTTTATAGAAGAACATAACTGTAATTCCCTGAGTTATAGAAACAGTAAAAGAACCTGCATAAGCACGAGTCAAGCTGTGTGATCCAGGCATCATAGGTTGAGCCCAGGCCATCTCTCTAGCTGACCGTGACCCGGTTTCCCTGGATGGTTGTGATTGGTCGATCAGGGCTCTCCTGGATGACTGTGACGCACTAGCTCTGTATTCTGTGACATAGAGCTGCCACATTGAAAAGACACAGCTGGCTCTTCCACATCAGCTGGGATTATGACAAAAAATAGTTATCTTAAAGGCATTTTAATAGTCTCATTTAGATATGAGAAAAAAATTATAAAGGTTCAGTTCTTTTAGCCTGTCCTTCCTTTACATCCAGGAATATACAGTAGCTTATTTACATTCTCTTGACTGATTGACTGATTCCAGAACAGCACTATCTCTTTTGTAGTATATTTTTGTGTGGTTACCAGAATTGTATATTATATTCTAAATGAGATCTTACTAGTGCATTTTTCAGTTTTAACATAACGTACCTTAATGTGAGTGATACACTCTTAATATCCTATCATTTTGCTTGCCTTTTTTGTCGTTTCCCCACAGCCTGGAAGATGAGAATGATGTGTCAATATAAACACCGAAGTCTTTTTCATCAGTTGCTTCTTCATTTCCCATTTAACATTTCTAGGTTATATTTCTGCTGCCTACACATGACATTGAGTATTTGTCTACATTAAATATCATCTACTATATGTTTCCTGATTATCTTATTCTGGTATTGTCTCCAGAAATGACTATTATGGTTTGCTACAGTATCTATACTTTTGTAGAGTTCTGATAATTTACTGGGACAATTTATTAATAGCTTTTTCTTGGCTATTAGGAATCAATTGACAAAAAAACAAGCAGTCTACACACAGATTCAAAATCCACAATATACATTTATTGATACAGACAATATGCATATAAAAACAACAAAGTAAATAATTTAAACAATCTGCCTAGACACAGAATGGCAGATCATATCCTTAAGGGTTATCACGATACAACAGTGTGGGGATTAGGAAGAGATACAAATACAAGAATTGCACATACGATATATCGAACTCATTAATTAGTCTTATGTAAATACTCAACATTCAGATATTCACAGACAAGTAAATACTTGTACTTATATTAATTAAATTGGAATCAAACAAGGGTAACAATTGAATTCTCCACTTCAATAATGTTGAATACGGAATTATACTCACCCAGCAACAGTGGATTCGTGACTTCCATGCAGAAGCAGATAGAGACAGCTGACAGTTCAAAGTGTTGATCAACCCCGTGTTCTGAGTCTAGGGATCAGGGATAAGGAGATGGTCCTGCTGTAGCCTTGTGTTGTCAGTTCTCCTTGGGAAGGACCTCCTGGTTAGTGTTGAGTTGAACTACATTTTAAAGTCTGTGCACAAAGTGGACTGTGGTCCTGGTTTGTCACTGGTGGGGAGAAATTCGGTTTGCTCACGGCCTAGTGGCTATATTAGTATATTCAGGTGTGTCGACGAAAGTCCACCAGTCTTGTTCCAGTGATCAAGAGGATGCGTGGTGGCTGAATTAATTGACAATTCTGTAGCCACATATAGGGCTTCACTAAAAATCCACAGCCACACTTAATCCTTTGGTTTATTAATAAATATTGCTGCTACACTATAATTCACAGTAGATCATTGATATCAATTAAGAGCAGAAGTGGTCCCAATACAGATCCCTGTGGTACTCCACTAATTACATCATGGCAATTTGAACCCATTACCTTTTCTTCTGTACATGAATTCTCTATCCAAATACAGTCATTATGTCAAAGACATACAGTCTTCAATATAAGGATTCTTTATTTAGAATGTTCTAAATAAAAATTGTTTTTATGGAAATATAGCGAGACTTACCATTTCCAAATTCCATGCTGACTGTCTTCTAGAAACCTATTGCCATACAGACATCCCTCTAATTAAGTTCTATCATCTCCATTGCCTTACAAGTAATAGCAGTACGAAGACCTACTGGTCTTTGTGACAGACCTAGTTCAGGTATCACACGAATTGTAACGTCAGAGAAGATACAGTAGCAGTAACCCACCACAGCTTTGCAAATAAACAAAATGTAACAGAAAATCAAGAAATATTTGCCTGGGACCTCAGGGCTCCCTGAAAAACAATAACAAAAAAAATAAAATCCCAGAACAGGGAAAACCTTTGTTTTCAGTCTTAAATTATGTTGCTCAGTTTATTTACCTCTTTATATATTGGCACTAAGTTTGTATATTGTACCCACTACAATCAGTGGGTATTGCCAGCCCATCAGGGCTGTCTCAGGAGGCTGTTGGGACTGTGTTAGCAGTCTATAAATAACATCCCTCATTTCCTTACTAAGCCTTTCTTAAAAATTCAATACAATCAGTATAATATCATCAGACCCTTGGAGATTTGTTTAAGTGCTGTAATATGTCTGCCTCTTCTATTCCAATATTATTTAATATAGAACCTTCTGTTCCTCAGTCTGAATAGAATTCCCAGCTCAGCCGAGAGACATGAACAAGGAACTTGTTTCTGAAGTTTCGACAGACTTAAGCAGATGGAGTTGCTGAGAAATCACTTTTTTATCTTGAGAAGAGAGTTCAAGGTCTTAATTAGGTCTCAATCCTGAAGCGTCCCATCTTTGAATATGTTTTAAACAGTGGCCAGTTTAAAAGCTACAAGCATGGTTCCCAAATTGATAGCTCTGGAGGTATCATTTCCTTCCTTTTTATACTCTGTTCAGATGGTTTCTAGTCCCATCGCAGTCAATAATGAAACTAGGTCTGCAAGCAATGTTTTAAGGTTAACAAAGAGACACAGGTTTAAGGAGCTTAGAGCTTAATATCATCTTGGCTCTGGGTTTTCAGCTGTGAACAATTCATCCCTTAACTAAATAAACAAACCCTCTAACAGTACAGTAGCCGGTTGTCTGTTTGGCATGTTTTTATATGTCTGTGTTATTTGTTTTTCTATAACAGAATACTATTTTATAGACATGAACTACTCTCAGACAAAGGCTTTATAGAACTCACTCTTTAGGAGGAATTCTCTGCTGCTTCAGTCATGCCTCCATTGTGTCTTTGCCAAGCTTGTGGAACAGGTGCTGTAAAGGCTGGTGTACCGCAAGGTTCTTTCTTGTTCATCGTGTGCATGCTGTTTTTTTGGTTTATCATTAGCAACCCAACCTTTGTGTTTATTTCCATGCTCTTTCAGTCCTCTGTGTGCCAACTGCTTTCAGTCCTGAATGTTTCATTTGTTATTTGGTTGTGTGCTCTGTGTGAAGGTTAGCAGTTGTTTCGGAACTGAGGTTCTTATCGGCAGCTCATATTGTCTGTGTATTTAGGTCCTGTCAGTGGTGGCTCAGCAGATCCAGACAATCCAGCGAGCTATATCCCAGAGAGTCCAGACCTTTGTGTTTGAGGGGACACTCTTGACCCTGGACCCCACTTGCTGCATTTTCATCACCATGAACCCCGGATACGCAGGCCGGACTCCACTCCCAGACAACCTCAAGGCAGGCCTCAGTGCTCCTCTAGCTGTAGACTCAGTCTATGAAGTAAAGTGCAGTATACTGTGAAGCAAACAACAGTTTGTACTTGCACTGGTCAACAACTTGTCAAAGTGCTCTGTGGCAATTTGTCGTAAAGTGCAATACACCAAGCAAAATTTGATTTGAAAAATTGAGTTAATGGTCTTTTATTGAGCAACACAGTACTCATTGACTCACGTGAACTTAATATGTACGGACAGGCTGAATCAAGGACTGTACTGATTACCTTAAATAAAGCACATAACTAAAGAAGTAGTTCAGAACATGGCTTTTATTCATTATTCACTAATAACCACCAGCTTCTCATTCTGAACTAATTATGTGATATACCCTGATAATTTTAAAGTAAGGACAGGACAATGCAATGGGCATTTTTTAAACAATAGAAAAACCACCTTTCTTACTCACTTGTGTTATGAGAGGACTGGATTATGTTATTACGTTCTCTTTTTCTGTGTTATGCCTCCCAAACCTCATTTTGAGACGGATCAGACAGAACAGACAGTTGAATCCAGCTGCAGAGGACGGTCAGCCTCCCAATAGTCTATTCTGCTGACTCCCTTTTCAAACTCTGACACACCCACGTGGAGTAAAAAGGGCTATTGGTGCCACCTGCACAGGTGCTGTTCCGCACGGTGGCGATGACTGTGCCCGACTATGCCCTGATCGCCGAGATCTCCCTCTATGCCATGGGCTTCATCCAAGCCCGGGGTCTGGCCGCCAAGATTGTAGCTACATACAGACTCTGCTCTGAGCAGGTATGTGCTGTCTGCTTCCTGTTCTCCTTTCACACTCTCTATAACCCCCCTCTCTCCTCCCCCAGATTCAGCCCATCGGAAAATCTTGGCACTAGAGGAGAAGATCATACATTTATGGATCTTGAGATGTCTGATAGTAATAGTAATAATTATTATTCTGATTATACCGATTGCTGTAAATTAAAAAGATACAACCTCCCCCACATTGTACTTTAAAAAATTGAAAGTTTGGGAAATAAAGTGAAACATTTGCTCCTTTTTGACATGTGCTCAGTGACCTTCAATAAATTAGCGAAAAGGGACGAGCCGTCGCCTATGTTTTTATCATTTTGGTTGCTCAGAAAGAGCCCTGAATCTGGTGGGTTGATCGGGCTCATCAGGCAAAGTTTCTGAAATGTGCAAAGACTCGACATGTGCCAGTGTAATCCTATGTTCTCGTCTAGAGAGAGATGCTCACGTCCTCCGTTTTGTTTGATTTAAAATTGTTTTCCCAGCCGGTGATTGATTAGTCCGTCTCTCTGCTCAGCGCAATCTAACCCAATCATTACGAACAGAAGACCTTACGCTTGATGGGAATACTCCCCTCAGGTGTCGAGCTGGGATAATTAGAGCCGGCGAGGAGTGGAAATAAACTAATCGCTTTAGCTTGGTGGTTTCAACAGTTCACAGTCATTATGTGGAGTTGATTAAAATCAATTAATTTGTTCTCTAAAAGTCAATTACTGCAAACAAAATGTCTGCCCTGACTCTGAGGATTATGAGCTGAAAAAGTCTGAAGCCTACACCCTTAATACTTTTATGATGTTAATTCCAGGTGTCTATTCATTCAGGTTTGTGCTTTGGTCTCACACCAGCACAGCTGTCCACATCTGTCTGTATGTGCAGGGAAAGTGCTGACATAATTCACCATCCTCACAAGCCATACATCTCCATCTGAACACGAACATCAAACCTAGTGCTACACTGCAAGCTGAGGGCGCAGGGATAAGTCTCTACATGCTGATACATTGAAAAAAATAAACAGGTTAGCCCTATGTACTGGAGTTTGATATACCTGCTGTATCAACAGATATACACACATCTTAAACTGACTAGTCTAGCTGAAATTGAAGGAACCATTTAACTTTACATGATTATTGAGCATATAAAGACTTAACTCTTAACTTTCCTCTAATCCAGCAGTAGGTGCCGTGAAAGGTGTTGTATAAAATAAGGGTTATTAATAGCAGGAGTAGAAAGTGATCTATCTTGTAGGTATCAATTAGAAGACTCCCTGAAATGTCTGTCACCACCCAGTCTCAAAGCAAGCGCATTTATGTCAGTCCTGCAATTTGAAAGACTTGCATCCTGAGCAGAGCTGGAATCTTGTTTTGTGTGAAGTCTGATGTGCTCGGGTTTTGTTGCTAAGTTATATTCGTATCTAATAAAAAGTAGAAAATAGTAATAATTAATGACCTGCATCTCTGCAGTTTGCTTCTGTTTCATGACAAACCAACTAAAGATAAAAAAAACATAAAAGCGATGTCATTCCTCCATAAAGTGAATTGGGACAACTTTCAGTTGCTAAAAATAAATATATTTTAATTATAAATTAGCTACTGGCTGCTAAAACCCTTATAATTATGATGCATTTCTGGCGGTGCTATTAACTGTGCTGGATGACTAATTGCTTGTTGCCTGTTAATTGATCTCTGGGATCTCAGATTGAAAATAGTGGATGGGCTTTATGTTTTCTTTGTGCTTTTCTGCAGGCTGTGCAGGTGCAGCTGTTGTAAATTGGAGTGGGTCTGCGATGTGTGCTTCCAGTTTGTAGTGTTTCAGGCTGCATGATGGCAGTGCATTTGAGCAGCTGGGTAACCCTCACTCTCTCTTTCAGCTCTCCTCTCAGCACCACTACGACTATGGGATGCGCGCAGTGAAGTCTGTCCTGACAGCTGCTGGGAACCTGAAGATCCGCCAGCCAGAGGAGAGGGAGGACATTTTACTGTTGCGCTCCATTACGGACGTCAACCTGCCCAAGGTGAAATGTGTTATATGAATCTAACAGCAACCCAGGTGATGACTTGCTAATCGTTCCAGGCACTACAAAACTGGGGCCATTGTAGAGCAAGACAATGATTTTGTGTTTGTCATGAACAATCAGTCTATTGATTCACATGGTACTTGCTGTCCACTCCCCAGTTTCTCTCCCAGGACATCCCACTCTTCCGCAGTATCATTCAGGACCTGTTCCCTGACGTACGGTTGCCCACCCCTGACCATGTGCTCCTAGAAAGAACTATCCAGGAGGTCGCGCACAGCCTGGCTCTGCAGCCCCAGGCATGGTTCATCACCAAGATCATCCAGGTCAGTGGCCATTGCACCTGAGGAGCTGTGTCAGAGCCGTGTGGGCAGGCTTCCTCCAGAGTGTGGAGTGGTGGGTAGGTGGCTGGACACCAGACGGAAGGCTTGCGGGATCAAGCCCCAGGAGGGCAGATTTCTGCTGTACCCTTGAGCAAGGTGCTTCACTCCAGCAGATACTAGAGGACCGGGTCTCCCAAGTCATCGTTCCGAATGAGAATTTGTGTTCCGTTGACTAACCTTGTAAAATAAAAGAAGAAAAAATCCAAGCCCTTGTGCTTCCAGAGCTCCACGCGACCTCATGCAACTGTTTATTCATTATTTACCAAAATTAGACCACATTTCTGTGGATTCTAAATGAATTCATTCGAGTCTAACAGTACAGATAGCTTCAACTCACATTCTCTCTTTCTCTCTCCCACTTCACTTACCACCCCACGTCTCTTATAACCCCATCCATCCCTACCCCCCCCCCACACACACACACACACACACATTCTCTGAGCTGTAGCTCCTCCACAGCCGTCCTGTCTTTCAGGAAATCGAGAAGTAAAAACCAGAGATAAATCTCTCACCCACACCTCTCTCAGGACTGCTCTTCCTCCCACTTGAGCCCAGATTTGCAATTAGACAGGCTGTGTGATATGACAGCTGAGAGAATGAGAATCAGTCAGGTACTCAGTGGTTCCTACCTCTTGATTAGAGCCTGAGAGACAACAGAGAAGACCAGGTTAATGGTGTGTGAAGAAGTCTGCAAGGGAAGTTCTCGTTTGCCGAACACATTGAGCCTCCGTGGCTGTGCATCACAGCCAGCTGGAACTGAGCCTGTTGTGGGCGGTTTTACAAATCCGTCTTGTTCATCTACTGTCCACCCGTGTCTCTATTTGTGTGGCCATGTCTCACTCCTCTAATCTACATTTGTGCCTCACGCCATCTATGACGCTGTCCTTGTCTCTCTAACTCTCCTTCCCTCTCTCTTTCCTTTCTCACTGTTCTTTGTCCTTTGTCCTTCACTACTGTAAATGTGTAGTTGTATTTGGACTCTACATGTCTCAAAAATACTTAATAGATACTGCACTAATATAAAACGATGACAGAATATAATACCAAGATCCACCAGTAACACTAGTACTTTACTCTCCTAATGTTGCACTTGTTACCTCGCATGAGTCTCCCCACAAAACCGCAAGATTCACCTCGAGAAAGCTGGTCGAACGCTTCTGATTTCACTTCTGACATGACATTTCTATGCCCCTTCTGCGCTTATTTCAACCATAGAACTGAGCTGAGATTCAGAGGCCCATGTTCGATACAATGCTCTAAAAGGGCAAGTGCACACAGAGAGGCGGAACAATGCAGACTCAGCATAAGTGCATGTGAGAATGTGATGCCACAGGGGGAGACACGTGCCGGGAGGACGAGCAGAGCAGGGTTTTATAGGTAGAGCGCACAAGCAATACGGGTGAGGGTGACTTGAAATCACAGCTGCAGGTACATGAAACAGGATAAGAGAGCTGATGAAGCAGGATACTACAGGAAGAAACTGGGGATACATGGTAAAGCACAGCTGACAAAGTACTCCTGCAACCTGACTTCCATACTCGAGCACAGCAGTCAACTCCATCTGCATAGCATAGTATCTTGCTCTCTTCAACATGCTCTTTACCTGGCTTTGAGTCATTTTATGTCGACTCAAGCAGTACAAGGAATGGGAGTTTTCCTGCTTCGTAGGAACATTTTTTACAGTAAATTGCGGTAGGTCTAAAACTGATCTCCTAGCTGTTGTGTGGGGAGTGTACTGGTGCACTTTGGCTGCTGTTACATCATCCAGGTGGGGCTGCACATTGGTGGTGGTGGAGGGGGGCTCCCATTACCTGTAAAGCGCTTTGAGTGGAGTGTCCAGAAAAGCACTTTATAAGTGTCAGGAGTTATTATCATTAATTAGTTCTTCTTCTTTATTATATTAGTAAGCAGTCAGTGTACGGCGTGGGTCTCCTCCCCTCTCGCAGATTTACGAGCTCATGCTGGTGCGGCACGGATTCATCCTCGTCGGCGGTGCAGGCGGGGGGAAGTCCAGCGCCCTGCGGGTCCTGGCTGGGGTCCTGGGGCGGCTAGCAGAGCAGGGGCTGCTGGGAGAGCTTCCCGTGGAGGTCTTCACCCTGAACCCCAAGGCCATCTCCATGGCGACGCTCTACGGGCGCTTCGAACCCACGTCGCGGGAGTGGAGCGACGGTCAGTGGGAAACGCTCTCGGGCGTGATGTCAGCCCTCACCGGTGCGTTACAGGGCACGACTTTCGGCTGCCGCTGGTGCACAGCTCCGCTTGTGCGGAACAGAATGAGCATTCAATGTCTCCCTGTAGGGGGCGCTCTCTGAAGTGCCCTGTGCTGTCACAGTCATTGGTTTCTGAAAAAGATGGCAGTATACTTTCCCACGTGTGTGTGCGTGTGTTCTTTACACTGAGGGTGGTGGGAACAAGCTACCTAGCCATGTTGTTGAAGCTGATACCCTGGCTTCTTTCAAGAAACCGCCGAATGAGATCCTCAGATCAATTAACTACTGGCACATAGTTCAGAATGGCCTCCCCTCCTTTGCTACAGTTCTTGTGTTATTAGTTTGCCACAGTAACTTTCTTCCAACAAACCATCATTTTCAGTGTTTTTGAGTCAAGCTCAAGATGTCTTCTCTTTCTCACCATGTTTGCAGGAACTCAGGTAAGTGCTGCTTGTACTGCACATCTTGTCCTTTTGCTGGAAAACAAAATACGAGGTACATTTTAACAAGCGGAGCTCGATTCCACACTGAGAAGTCGAAGGAGAGAAGAGGAGGAGCGCAACGATTCGGCTGTTTGAGCCTTCTTCAGGTGTGAGGGGGAGAGTGAAAGGTATTCCCAGAATTCCCACACCTGCCAGAATCAGCTCAGGTTCCAGTCCGGCTGGGGGAAGGGGGGGAGGGAACTCAGCCGAGTGCAGATAAACACACCCCTGCCCAGTGGAGCTGTCTGTGGAGACTCTAGAATTGCACAGGCAGTGCGAAATCATCCTGATCTCAGGGCGTAGGGAGGGCCCTCCCTCTCCAGCCCCCCCTTCGTACACCTTCCTCTCTCTCACCACGTCTGTCTCTTCCTCCCTGGTTCATCCTGGATTCCTCCTCTCAGCTGTCCAGTCCCAGTGCTTCTCTGACTTCTCATTTCTCTTTCCTTGCCGCTGCTGTCAAATTCACTCCATGAGCTCTAGGGGCATCACTGATGATTTAAAGTTCTGACAAAGCAGTAGCAATCAGCAAAACACTGCGGCCAATTACACCATAAATTATTATTATTATTTATTAGAGAAGCTCACTCAGTGTCTCTCAGGCTGTGACAGATGATAACATACTAGCCTCAAGCCCCCTGAGTTTCTGGTGTTCTGTTCATTGTTCTAGGGAAGAAGTTTTATGTCTGATCCATGTGGGTTTCTTGTATTTCAACAGACAGTGAATCTTTGTCTCTGCTTCTCCCTGCCGGCATTGGGAGCACAGCCTGCCATCTACCTGTGTCTCCCAGTTTCTGGGGTCACTGAGCCTGTACTCTCTGGGCAGCCAGGTCTGCCTGTGTCACCCAGTTTCTGTGCACAGGCCTTGGTCATTTTTTGCAGAACTCTGTTTGAAGGACTTCTATGCAATGCTTGTCCCATATAGTGTAATCCTGGTCCGTGATTGGACCCCACACTTCCCTGCCATATAATGCAGTGGGTTAGATAACACTTTCAAATATTCAGGGCCAGATTTTTGTATGAGGCTTAAAATTGAAGAGTCTCCTCATTATGGCATAGAAAGCCCTGCATGCCTTCTCCTTTGGTACCAGAACCAAAGCATCCTTTTGAGTGTCTCCCTTTCTCTCGTACTCTGTCATTGATGTCCTGTGTTATAGTTCTATACATCACACCAGGGCCGCTCCTAGCTTTTTCGGGACCCTAGGCAAGATCACCTCCCATCCATACGCTTTTTTTACTGTGCAGCATTCAGTGTGGCAGCTGCCGAAATCGCTCTGACATTGTCATCTTACAACAACGAGAGTCATTCACTACATCGACAGGCCTACATTTACGTTCACAATGGATAATATCATCATTCATAACTCACAAACGGCCTAGATTAGCACAATCCGCAACCAAAAGAGCCATTGGAGGCGATTCTTCAGCTCACATTGGAATGTGCTGATTAAAAACAGTCTGTTGCGTTGCACATTGAGGGGACCCCTGGGGGCCTCGGGCCCCTACACAGTAGGCTAGTTTGCCTAAGCCAAGGGCCAGCCCTGGATGACACCCTCTCTATTGCTGCCTGCACGACCATACAGAACAGTAGAGATACTCAGGGAGGTAGAGACAGGACTGGGCCTGACCTTATGATCTGTCAGACAGCCCTGCAACTCTCTGCTCAGATTCATTTTTATTGTCCATGCTTGACGTTTCATCCCTATATTGCATGTGTAATATACACTTATAAAATTATACGTTTTTACATTGTTATACACAAGAATACGTTCCACTGTATGTTAATGTTGAGGGTATTCTGACTGTATCACAAAAACAGTATGTGGCAGAACAGGAGGCCCTATTTTCTGACTATAGCAAAGGCGTTAAAGATGTCCTCCTTGACCATTTGATTTGGGAAGTCTCTTCATTCCAGCATTCAACCCAGTTCATGGTGCATCACAGTGATTCAGTCCCCCGAGTTTTTATAAGAAAATTCTTCATTTTCCTCACCCTTCATTTTCAGAATGGACTCCTTTGCGTGAGAATGTTAAAAACGGCGCTACCGGCTGACGTCCGCCCAGTAGGACTGAAGAGATCCGGAGAGGCGCTGCCCACTCATGTGACCCTGGACATGTGGCCTCGCCCAAGTTCCTCCGTGAAGCCCTGTGATTTAATAAGGCACCTGTAAAAAAAAAAAAAATAGAAAAAAGTCTGCAACTCGGGGGCAGATAACAGGGTTAAATATAGAATTATGTGAGATAGGTATTGATTTCTCTCTGCAGTAACTTGACATTTCAACAGAGCGCTACAGACATATCCTTAGGCCTTTCTGGAATTCAATGGGATTTTATTAGGAGAGGAGATAGGGAGACAACAACACGCAGCAGAGCACCAGTTCCTGACAAGCCTGTCCTCCCCAGAGGGGGGGTTAAGGACTGTTAGTGTGGAGAAAAGCGATTACCACCCCCTGCCCAGTAATGGGATTGTCGTAACTCAATACTTCTTTTATCAGTTTTTTTTTATAATTCTTTCTCCGTCTCCTTCCCCCCCCCACCCAGGTTGACAGCCAGACTAAATTTCATTTCATTTTTTTTCTTTTTTTTATCACTTCATCCCGTTTTTTTTTTTGCTTTAATAATGCATTATGTTCCCCTAAGTCAGACAGACAGGGCCCACGTTGTCCCATCTCTCAGGTCCCAGCCCACCGTGCGCTTGCCAGTGCGAAATTGATTTGGGGCTTGTAATCTAGCAGTCAATTTGGTGTGATGGAGCGCGGAGAGGCGGTAGCCTCACGATTGCTGGTGATCTATACCTGTCAGTGCGCAATCGATGGCCTGGCCTTCAGTCATACTGTTATTGGAGTCGCAGCCTCATCGCAGAGCCACTTACCTGCGATTGATTGTGCACCGAGAGCCGCAGAAGCTTTAAATCTACCCCTTCGTTATGGTCGTTATTTATGATTTGTTTTAGCTGCGTTTCTGTCAGCCTCTTACTTTATTGCTTTACTTTTATTAATGGGATGGCCTTGATGGTTTTGTGCAGAGGCGCTCGTGGAGAAGGTATTTTTAGAGGATAACAATGAATTGATTATTTATCAGTGTTATGATTATGGGTCTCTTTGCAATTTCCATTGGTCACCTTTTGGCACCTTCAGTGTGTCATTCTATCCATTCTGATTAAAAACATACAGTATAAGGGCTGCTGTGCTAATCCCTTAGACCAGTGTGTGACCACCTGATATCACAGGGGTTTAATAAAGCCAGTTGAGCCATTTCCGGGGTTCTTGCAGAAACAGTTTTGTCCATGCCAGGACAGTGTCACGTCTGCGGCTTCCTCCCAGCTCCCAGGAGTCCATTAACAGGACAGGTTTTTGGTGCAATCAGGAGTCCATTAGTGATTTATTGTACAAGAGCTGCTAATTAAGGATGCATCTGAAACACTGCTCCCTAATCTACAACAAGTGAACCCACACCCACACAAGTTTGATAACTTTCATATTTTGCTGTTCTTCTGTTCCTCTGCTCTGCTCTGACTGCACAGCGATAGTGTGATCGATTACACCCGGTGCTTCTGTCACTCTAACTCTTTGAATGTTATAACATTCTTGGCACCCGAGCCCACAGTTCAGACATTATCTGGGGCATGTTGAGGCCTTTCATCCGGCGTCGAGATAGTGATCTTGTCCTCCACCTGTCTGGGAGGCAGGCCTGAGACTAATCCTGAAAGTGTGCTATCAGAATCAATACTCTTCCTCCCTGCTAGTGCTCCGAGATTGCACGACAAACCGGGATGTTCTTTCTTCCAGGGCGATGGTATCTCGGACTCTGTCGGCACATTCCCCCACGCTCTCTCTCGCTCTCTCTCCGCTGTCGGCTCAGCCAGCGCAGAATAACTGTCTGCAGAGCAGCGCAGACGTGGAGCCTTTTGTGTCTCGCCGCAAGTGAGGGAGGTTGATAATGTGTCAGCTGGCTCGAGATATTTCACTTTTCACAAACAGGGGACTTTGACGTTGGTCACATTGAGAGTCTCAGGGATTTAGAGCCTGGATTTAGTCAATCAATTGCAGTATTAACTCTTTCTGATTTATTGCTTTTGTAAAAGGCTTTCAGATGCTTAGGTAGATCCAATTAAGTATTCTGTTCTCTCTAGGTCTGCTTTTCTTCCCCCTCTTATCCTATCTTCCTTGAAATTGCCTTCTTCTTTTATTCCTGCTCTCTCCAAGTCACAGTTTTTGAACTGGAAGTGGTGCCGTGCTGAATTCCAAAAGCAGTCTGGGATGTGGGACAGCTACGGGAGACTGAAGTTCGTCTTCTCCTCCTCCAGGTGTGCTGTCGTCAGCGTTCCGAGCGCAGGCCTGCAGCCTGACCAGCAGCCGGCGCTGGCTGGTTCTGGACGGCCCGGTGGACGCAGAGTGGGTAGAGAACATGAACACCGTGCTTGACGACAATCAGAAGGTCGGTGTGACACAGTCGTGGGGACGGTTGGGCAGCTTCCAGAGGACTTCGGAGCTGGGAGGGATGCTGTCGTGGCACCAAGCCCAGCCACATGAAAATGAGCCGCCATCAGGCACAGCTGGGATGCAACAGCTGTAAAACACCTGCATACACACAACCTCACCAATACCGCAGTATATTATACTGTGTACACTCTGTATAGAGCAGGGCTGGATTAAGGTCCTTGTAGGCCAGAGACACTTCGGTTTCATGGGTAGATGCATATTCATGACTGCGTCGGAACATTCTGATACTGATTCTGAAATGGGACAATTTGAACAATCCCACTGTATGGGGGCTGTCATTTTCATATCACAGAGCACTATATGACTTGTATCTATGACTATATGTGTAGTCATAACAAGGCTGCTTATGCTTTTATTTAGCCAACGTATTGAGTTTAAGTCCACTCTTTCAAGTGGGTGTGATATGGAAGAAGGTCTTTGTGAATGGAACTGTGGTAGTGGATATATTCTCTTATCTGATTCTGTAACCTGTTATTACGTTACAATAATAGGTGGCATGTTATTAAATTTGTAAGGTGTTTTTGGAATGTGGCTTGATGCTGTGGGATCTTTAATAGATAGGGATAGTCAAATACTGGAGCTCTCAATCCACCCCCGGACAAGTCTTTGATATGTCTTCGATACACGAGTCCCGTACTTATAATTGATTGTACAGTATTTGACCAGTCCTGTTTGGACACAGTGTAGATCCTGTTTAACAGGTCTACTGAATGAAGGTCCATTCTACAGCAGCGAGTGGTGGTATTTTTTAGTGAAATTCGGGGACTGGATACCTGCATTCAGTTTGGTCATCCCCTCATGTTACAGTAAGTGTCTCTGTGCCCTTCAGCTGTGTCTGATGAGTGGGGAGACCATCCAGATGAGTCCCCAGCAGAACATCATCTTTGAGGTCCTGGACCTGGAACGTGCCTCCCCGGCCACCATCAGCAGGTCTGAAGCTAGTGGCAATAGCACAGAATCACTACCTGTACCACGCTGTCAGGATCAGTGGGATCATCAGTGTGGCTGATGTTGCACAAGATCCAAGAAGCAGCCAGTAGAAAACTATCTGCACATGACCGGAGTTGCTATGTTCTGCACTTGGTGTGGAGTTCTGATCAGCGACTGACTCAGGGATGTCTGCATCTCAGGTGTGGGATGATCTATATGGAACCCCGAGACCTGGGCTGGGAGCCCCTGCTCCAGTCCTGGCTGGATAGGCAACTACCCCCCTCCTTCTCCCCAGGCCACAAACAGCTGATACAGGTAAGGAACTCCAGGTGTAGCATGTGTTAGATTATAGGATATTAGAGTGCTGTTATAATGTGTTTTTACTTTCTAGGCTTGTGCACTCTTGTACTTCGAGTTATGTCGTGCGTTCAACAAAAATGCATTCATAGTTAATTCACTGGTCTTTTTAGTCATACACCACAAGCCACACTCGGTATACAAATTGTGGTAAGAAATTGATTAAATGGATTAAGGGCAAGTTCTGCACGCACTAACCACAATCACGCTGAACTAAACTGTGAACACTGGTCTCTGAAATGTTCTCCAAGCAGACTGCTTCTCCATGATAACAGCAATGCAAAACCAACTTGCATAGGATACAGCAGTGTGGTGCAACTAACTCAGGGTACAAAAAGAGGAGAGGGAAAGGTGTTTAAAAACATGCAGTTTAAATACAACTGCCTAGCTGTTCAACTGCCCTTAGTGCCTACCGAGTGACATGTGCACAGTGTACTGTCCTCTTCTCTTGCTTTCCTCTTGCAGATAACATGTCTGTTTTCTCATAGTGGTTTGGATTATGCTGTGGCAGACATCTCTGTACTCGACTATTCAACTACCCTGATCATTGTACTATATCATATTCCTTTACAATTGACTATCATTGAATAAATTACACATTAAGGAGGAGGTAGGTTATTGAGCCCTTTGGTGTTCTGTCTTTCTCTGAAGGAATTAGGATCCAACCAGGTATAATTGAACACTGGCTGCTTGATTGGACTAATGAATCAACAGATCACCTTCAACTTGCTTTCTCGCAGCTGGCCTTTGGCGTGCATTTGCCTCTCTTTGTGTGTGTGCACCTGTGTGTGTATCCGCTCTGTGTGGGTATCCCCATCTCACTGTGTTGTGCCCCTGTGGGTCCGTGCACGTATCAGACGTTGCTGCAGTGGCTGTTGCCGCCTTGTCTGGAGTTCGTGGAGAGAACCTGCTGCCCTGTGGTGCCCACCTCCCCCCTGCACCTCACCGCAACGCTGCTCGCCCTGTGCCGCAGCCTGCTGGCCGAGACCAGGTACTGCACATGGAGGACCCCTCCTACCGCGGCTCTGGGCAAGTGGCGTTGTAAAGCCCGCATTGCGCAAGAAATTGGAATTGATTCCAAGCGCATGAGAATTGTTATTAGAAATGGGAATGAGCTGAAATTGAAAACCAGAAACTGACCCCAATCCTATCACCGAACACGGCAGACCCTCATGCAAAAGTTCCAGCACCGGGTCTGTCATTTGCAGAGAGCGTACCACCATACTGACAGCCGGTTCTCATTATGAAATATCGTTCAGGTTATTTTAATGCACAGCTGAATGAGACTCAGCTGTAGATGGGATTTTGATGGCCTGCCTCTGCTGTGCATTGCCCCTTTCTGCATGTCTCCAGACAGCAAAGTTATCTAGCTCCTTAGAAGCAGACAGTCCACAGGAGGTTTTCTATTGCATTATAATAGAAATGTAGCGCATTCCCTGTGGGCTGGAGAGCGCCTGTGGCTGGCTGGTGACAGCTTCTCCGTGTCAGCTCCTAATGACTTCAGATCTTTCCAAACACATAAACCTCTCCTCCAGCTCGCAGATTAGACAGGGGTGATTGAGTTTGTAGTTTAAGAGAGCGGTGAATGCCACATAGATCTGGCCACTTGATGAGGAAGAATGCTCTGGTTTTTAATTTTCTTTTTTTTTTTAAGCAGGTTCAGTTTCAATTCACTTTCTCTTGTTATTTTCCCACCCCGAGTCTCCACACCACCAGATTCGACATCATACCTCGGTGTGACACACACACACTCTACCTCCTCTCCTGTCTCTCTCTCTTCACCTCCTTCTGAGGCCTTCTCCTCTCTCTTCCTGCTCTCTACCTCCTCTGCTGTCTCTCCTCTGTCTCTCTCTCCCTTCACCTCCTTCTGAGGCCTTCTCCTCTCTCTTCTTGCTCTCTACCTCCTCTCCTGACTCTCCTCTCTCTCTCTTCACCTCCTTCTGAGGCCTTCTCCTCTCTCTTCCTGCTCTCTACCTCCTCTCCTGTCTCTCCTCTCTCTCTCTTCACCTCCTTCTGAGGCCTTCTCCTCTCTCTTCCTGCTCTCTACCTCCTCTCCTGTATCTCCTCTGTCTCTCTCTCCCTTCACCTCCTTCTGAGGCCTTCTCTTCTCTCTTCCTGCTCTCTACCTCCTCTCCTGTATCTCCTCTGTCTCTCTCTC